ATACCCACGGCTTGCCTCCCTGAAGATGTGCGAGACTGAGCGAGCATCTGACCAGACACTTCTCCCACCAGAGGTCAGGGCTGCGGCACAAATTCAGGAGGATAACAAGCAGCACTTCCCCAGCTCTGCCCCAACAACACATGTTTTTTCATTGTGGAAGGGATCACTGTTCAGGACTGTCAAAACCACACAAAGGGACCTCATCAACCAACACCAAGTAACTTTCCACAAAAGTTGAGCCCCTGATAACATTCCTGTTTCTTGCCAATTATCTTTCAGTGAGAAACTGTCAAGACATTTGTGTTTAAAAGACTGATCTACCTTAAAAGGTGCCTGCTAATCTGCAGTGATGCAGGGTAACGGTGTACACAGGCTCTGATGGCCTTCTTCCCTGGGGTCTGATTTTTGAAAGCAAATACATCTTTTTTAGAGGACAGCAGACAGCAAGGGGAGGCAAGTGAAGGTGAGGACAGGAAGAAAAGCCAGGATGAAGAGAACTGCACGGTAAAACAAATAGGCTTCAGTATTACTAATCCAGAGGAAATGAATGCATGTGTCAAACCCAAGGGTACAATCCCAGCAGAGGACTAAAAGCCTGCCTGAATTTGACGTATTTCCTTATTTGAGAGGGACAAAGGACACTGTCAGGTTAAGGTATTAGGTATTCTTAGACATCAGGCAAAGAAACTTGCCTTTTGTACCCAAAGGGGAAAAGAAAAAACAGTATATTTCTTCCACTGTTCACATTTTTCTCACATCTCATGACTAGAAGCAAGCTAGTTAGTTTAATTTCATTGATGGGCACTTTCTGGTCTAGCTGGTTACAGGGTTTGTCCTTAAGCACCGGATGGCTTTAGTAGAGTTGGTATAAAAATACTTTAGAAAGATGCTCTTCTCTCTCCCCACCTCTTCCCTACCTGTGAGACCCAAGAAGCCAACACAGCAACAGTACAGCAAGAAGCAGTCTGTTTTGCTTCATCCATCATCAGCAAAACTGTCAGCTCAGCTCCAACAGCAAAATCTTTATTACTGGTTATGATGCAAAAGGCAGAAACCACACAGTCTGATTTTCCCAGATCTGAGGCTGAGTTTGCAGTAGCGGCAGTTGGAAGGGAAATAATTTTGACTTTTCACTGAGCCAATTTGATCTGGAAATTGTTGAGAGCAAATAAATATGGAATCCCACTGTGGCACTTCTGCAGTTACTTTCTGACCACAACCACTTCTCTTTTTTTTTTGAACATCAGTGATTAGTATTGGGCACATGTAAAAAATTAGCTATTCCCTGAAGCCATGCATGACTGATCAATTACAGAACTAATACATTTTCCAGAGGTCAGTTTAAGAGATGAATAATCTCAGGCCCTTTTAAATTTCCCAACCTGCAGCATGGGGAGATTGTTATTTGGTTTTATTGCAGTTTTCTTCAAAAGGTCAGAGTGCCCACAGTACTCAGCTGCCCACAGTAACACACAGCAGTATATCCTAGGCAATTCTCCAGGTGACCAATGACCTTTTGCAGTAAGCAGTCTGTGCAGTACAGGTGCTCTCTTTTTCCCTTCTCAGGAAAACAACTGCTTATTGACTCCGGACTTGTCTTTAAAAAGCTAAGTCGAACCTAAGAAGTCTGCCACTCTGCCAAGTTACCCACCAGTGCAAAGCAGCATACCTGCACGCACACATCAGCTCAGCTCACTGCAGCATTTACTTAACAGACTTCTACATGCCATTTCAACTTGCTTTTTCCTTTCTGCACTACTAGAAAACACAGCATTCAAAGCACACAAGTCAGTGAGGCAGACAGACCATCGGTGAGACTCCTTAATTTGCAAAGAGCTCCAGTGCCCCTAGTGCTGCTCAGAGCTTTCCCCAAACAGCAGAAAAGCAGGAGACACCACAGTGGGGGGTTTCACACTTGGGACAACACTATCTTTTAAGAAGAAAAAGTCTAGCAGGACTACATTAGTCAATGCTTTCCACATATAACAGCCGAGAAACTAATGACACACCCTCTTTGCCTGAAACATCTAGCAGTTTAGAGGTTAGGTGAGAAAAGAGCAGCTTACAGGTTGGGTGGGATGCCTGCTTGGACTCCTGCTCAGATTGAAGGGTCCTACGAGAAAACAGAAAATTCCAAATCTCTAGGTTGGCCAGCAGCTCTAGTCATTGATCATGCACCAATTTCTTCTCCTGGCTTTCATCTAGGCTCTGGCAGACAGATGGGGGAAAAAAAAACAACAACAAATCCCATTCATATCCATCCTCCCCATTCTATAGTGCTGACCTGTAAGAATGGCCTAAGGGAGGGGAAAAAAAAAAAAACAACAAAACTTTCAGTATCAGGACAGTTTGGAACACATTTTAGCAAATTACAGGGCTTAAATCTCTGGAAGGAGAGAAAAGCTACTTGCTGCTATTGCACACAGCACCTTAAAACAGCACCAGCAAACCCACTACCTGCCTCTGCTGGCATCTCTTGCATCATGTGAAGAGTATTTGCTAACCCAAATGCTGTTATCATGACTTGACTTATTCCTTCCTTGCATTTTTTTTTTTTTACCCATCTGTTTCTTTTTATACAGCATTTGTCTTCTAACCTCTCTTGGTTTGTTTGCTTCATGTCTTTTTGATTCACAAAAAAAGGACACACCTTATCTCTTCCACAAGATGTAACCACCCCTTGTTTTGCACATTCAGCCTCATATCTCAGCACCATATTTGCTTCCCTCTCTCTTTCTGAATAAATAGAAGTGCAGGCACTTTTAAGGAATAAGATCTCTGTTTGAAGAGTAATTAGCTGTCAGCATAAAACTAGTATTTATGGATTCTCATCCTTGAAAAAATCTAACTCTGCTACCCAGCACTGATTATGGCTGTTATAAACAGATGGGGCTGAATCCATACAACTTGAAATAATCCTATATTTAAAAAATAATTAACTACAAATAAAGGACTGAATTCCACTAGCTTTCATAAATTTGATTTCCAATTTGATTTGTTTGTACAGACTGGAAGCTAGGTTATTCATGGGTGTGCTGTGCTATCCTAGCATACCTTGAAAGTGTGAGTCTGCAGTGTATTCAAGCACACGCTCCACAACTCCAAGCACACGGGAGGGCCAGGTACTGGAATATTCTGAATACCCTGGAGCTAAGATGCAGAACGAAAGGATGGCTCAATCACGCCTGGGATCATAAAGAAACTCAGCACCCCTGGGTGTGCTGTGTCTGGTTGCCTGGCAGAGAAGTCAGAATTTTACCCGTGGTGCAGCTTTGTTTTAATGACTGACAGGAGAGCTTTAAAAAACTGCTTTTAAAACGCAGGTTACAGTGGATGAAAGCCCTTGGTGTGCTACTCTGACTTCCTTCTCTGTTCAACCTGGGGCAGCATCTTTGCTGAATGCCTACACATGTGTGAGAGAACCCAGGAAATTTATACTCTGCTTAATTAAATCTGTGCATTTTACTTATTGGCACTTCTTACTAGCCCAAAATTCACTCCAAGTTGGTTATCCATCATAGAAAAAGATACGACAAACACAATCAAATACTACACAGAATCTATAGCTCTTGGTTAACTAGGTCACAGATTGCTCTGCAATGTTTGTGAGGCTGCCAGGCTTTTACGCACAAGCTGTAGGCACCAGGCCAAATTCTCCCCTCCATTACACCCCTGTTACTCCACCGATGAGGTGATCCAGGCTCGGTGGGGTCTAAGCAAGGGTAGCCTTCAAGTCGCTATTCGTGGGTACCAAGTCCCGAGCCAGCTCCACACCGAGTAAGTGACAAAACGATTTACCGGGACAGCTGGCCTCTCAGCTCCTCCCCGACTTCTGCGAGGGCACATCCCGTGCCTCCAGCCCCATGGACCAGCATGACTTTTGTCATCTACCAGCTTTTGTGTGAAGCAGTTGGATTTACACCGATACCCCAGGAGGGAGCCCTCTTGCACAACTGCAGACACCTCCCGTTGAGCAAGTTTTTTTCCTAATAACCAAGCTGAAATTTCCCTTTGCCTAATTTCAGCTCTTTAATTTCCAGTCACACCCTATCAGGCTGCCCTAACATTTCCTCTCCAGTGAGAGAAGACATGTCCTCCTGCACACTCTGCATGCACAGGGCCGTGCTGCAGGACACCCCTGTGGAAAGAGACAGCCCCCAATTCCTGTCACCTTCTTTGGGAAAAGGAGGGAAAAGGGGGCATGAGGGGCCTGTGTGGGAAATGGGGGGATGGCTGGGGAAGTGACGGGTGTGTGAGGAGAGTGGGGGCTGTGAGGGAGGACGAGGCTGTGAGGGGAGCTGAGGGCTGACTGAGGGGGGGACATGGCGGGGAGGGGGGCTGAGGAGGGGAACAGAGTCATGAGGGAACGTGAGTGCTGACTGAGGGGGGGGAACATGGCCAGGAAGGGATGGTGAGGGCTGACTGAGGGGAAAACATGGCCATGAGGGGACGTGAGGGCTGACTGAGGGGAAAACATGGCCATGAGGGGATGTGAGGGCTGACTGAGGGAGGACATGGGGAGGGGGGCTGAGGGGGGGGGAACAGAGTCATGAGGGAACGTGAGGGCTGAGGGGGAAACATGGCCATGAGGGGATGTGAGGGCTGAGGTGGGGGAACATGGCCAGGAGGGGATGGTGAGGGCTGACTGAGGGGGAAACATGGCCATGAGGGGATGTGAGGGCTGACTGAGGGAGGACATGGGGAGGGGGGCTGAGGGGGGGGGAACAGAGTCATGAGGGAACGTGAGGGCTGACTGAGGGGGGGGGGGGGACATGGCCATGAGGGGATGTGAGGGCTGACTGAGGGGAAAACATGGCCATGAGGGGATGTGAGGGCTGACTGAGGGGGGACATGGCGGGGAGGGGGGTTGAGGGGGGGGAACAGAGTCATGAGGGAACTGAGGGTTGACTGGGGGGGGGTGGGGGACACACGGCCATGAGGGCTGCCTGAGGGGGGGGACACGGCCCGGAGGAGATGGCGAGGGCAGCGCGGGCTCTCACCTCTTTAATCTTCATCCTACGGGCGCGGGTCTCGGGGTCCTCGCCGGACCGCCTGCCCCGCACCGGGTGGCAGAGGCTCCGGCGGAACCGCTCGTAGTCGAAGCGGAACGGAGCCCGCGTCTCCCGGGCTGGGGGAGCCCCGGTGGCGGGCTGGGCTCGCCGCTCGCCGCCCTGCACCTGCTGCCGGGAGCCCGGCGCGGTGTGGGCCGGCGGGCCGGCCATGCGGGCGGCGGTGCGAAGCTTCTCCCGGAGACGGCGGGGGGCGGCGGGGCTGGCGTGGCGGGGCTCGGCGGCGGCGGGGGGGCTGCGGGGCAGGTCGGTGTCGCGAGTGGAGGAGGAGGAGGCAGAGGAGGAGGAGGAGGCGGAGGAAGAAGAGGAGGAGGAGGCGGAGGTGGTGGCCCGGCGGGGCAGGAAGAGGCGCTTGAACCGGGAGGAATCGGGGAGGAGGAAGAGGGCCCCGAAGCACAGCGTGAGCAGGCCCGAGAGGAAGAGCAGAAACAGGAACTTCTGCGGCAGCCGCAGCCCCAGCGCCGCCGGCCAGCCCGGCATGCCCGGCAGCTTCCGCAGCACCACCATGGGGCACCGGATCGCGGCCGCCGGGCGGGCTCCGCCGCCTCCCCGGGAGGGACGCCGCTGGCTTCTGCGGCGAAGGGCTCAGGGATGTCCCCCCGCACCACCGGCTGGAGCGGGCGCCTTCACCGGGGACCGCCGGCAGGTGACACGTGGAGGGCTCCGGACCGGGCTACGCCGCGGGGCCCCGCCGCTGCCCGGGGGTCCTTGCCCGAGAGGCTCGCAGGGCGCGGAGCGGCGGTTCAGGGTCCCCCCTTCCAGCATGAAGGCGGCGGCGAGCGCATCCCGCCGGAGCCGGGCGGTTGGAGCGGCAGGGCTGGGCTGCTCCCGCTGTCAGTCCCCCGTGCAGGCTCTCCCCGCCGGACGGCGGCTGTCGGGCTGGCTCAGGGAGCGGTGCCGAGGAGGGGCGATCCCTTCTCTCTAGGCGGTGGGTTCATGCTGCAGCATTTCTGCGAGGCGGGGGTTGGGGGGGGAGAGAGAAGAGCGCGTTCATTCAACACCGAGAAGGATGCAAGCCGGCGTTACAAGCCTTTGTCCCGGAGGTTCTGCCGCCTCCCTAGCCATGTGTCCCCACCCCGCTCCAGCCACACGAGTTCGTTTTCTCTCTCTCCGGACTTGCCATCAACTCTAATTTGCGAGCAGCTCCCAGCTCTGCAGCATCCCCTTAGAGCTCAGGGCTACCGAGCTCTTCTGACGGGGTAGCCCTCGGGCCAAGAGGAGGATCCGCGGTCTGACGAGGAGCGAGGAAAACCCCGGGAAGGGAAGGGTGCCCAGGGACAGAGAGCAGACAGACAGACACAAGGCTGCTCCGCTCCTCACCAGGCTGCCAGGAGCTGCCTTCGCCCGCAGAGGGCTGGAGACGATGGGGCTGCAAACAAGCCATGCGGAAAGCTCGGCTCGGGCTAAGTTTCTTAACGCAGAAAAATCTACGGGTTTTGGTTTTGTTAAACAGATCCCAGCAAATTCCCCCTTTCTCCCAAATCTCTGCCTCACTATTAGAATTATGCACCCCCCCCCCCCCCAATCCTCTCCTTATGTGCGCTGGAAGAAACTTTCAGACCACCAAAAAGAAAAAAAAGCAGGTCCACTTTCAAAAAGCAGGACACGTTTTAAAGACCTTCCTACAAGCCCCAGATCACCCCTGCTCCTCCGGGTGGGAACGGCGCTGCCCCCCAAACACGCCGTCAAACCCGCTTGCGGACGTTTTCCTACCCCCAGCCCTGATTACTCACCCCTCTGACAAATCCAAGCCACTCTGCGTCCTACAGTGAGCAAAATCTTCTCAGTCCTGCCCGCGCATCTCAAAAAGCGAGAACCCCTCGCTGCTGTCAGCGCTCACAAGCGCCCGCTAAATTAAGAAGAGGAAGAGCCTGGCTGCCCGCCGGGCTCTCCGGGGAGGCAGCTCCTCTCTCCTGCTCATCCAAGCATCCCGGAGGGAAGTCCCTAACTGCATCAAGCTACTTAGAGGCCTCTGTATTTCACCTCCCGCCCGCCGAAGGGGACCCGCCGGGCTGCGCTGCCCGGTGCCCGCACACGCAGCCCGCCCGCACCGCCCGCCTCCACCGCCGCTCACTGCGACAGCGCCGGCGGCCCCGCCCCTCGCTCCGCCCCCCCGCTCCGCCCCCTCCCGCCAACGGTCACTCGGGGGAGTAGGCCGGGGGGGGGGGAGGTGCGCCGCCAGCCAATCAACAGACCAGGTTCTGCCCGCCGTGACGCTCGCCCCCCAGGGCCACGCCCCGCCCTCGCTCGCTATTGGCTGGCGAGAGGACAAACGCCAGGAAAGCCGGGAGACCCGCCCGCTTGTTTACCACAGTTGCCCGGCTCGAGCTTGGGGGAGCGCCTCGCCCCGCCCCTTTCCTCCAGCCAGCCTTCCATTGGCTGCGAGGAATGGCCCATCCGCGCTGCGATTGGCGGAGAGCGGCGGGGGGGGGGGCCCAGCTACTTTAAATAAGGGCTGAGGGCGCAGAGCGCGTTTAGGGAGCGGAGGGCTCGTCCGGAGTGGTGGGGAGGTGGCGTCGCCTTTCCCTCACCTCACCCGCTCTGAGGACTTCTGAACGGCGGGTCTAACCACGCAGCCCCCCTCCCTCAGCCTGCAGCCCGAGGTCTGGTGTGTGCCAGAGGGTCAAAGCCCCCAGGGGGTTTTGTACCCTGGTGATGATGTGGACCTCGGGGCCTGGCAGGCACTGCTTGGCATGAGGAGGGGAACCAGGGCCTCAGAGAGGGGCCAGACATGTCTTTGGAACAACCTTTCTACACAAAAAACCCTGTCCTTTTTGTTTTTTTATGAGCTCACAGTCAACTGCTATGAAGCACATCTGAATCCCAAATACTTAAATCCTCATTGCCTGTCTTAACCTTCAAAGCACCATATAAGCACTAGCCAAATCTGGCAGTCACCTCATGAGGTAATACTGCATCAGAGGTGAAGATGGTGAACCAAAGTGTTTCTGCTCATAAATGTTAGGAAAAAAAAAACCCAAATCTGCAGAATTAGCAACAGAAAAGAAGAGGGGGGGGGGAAAATAAAAGGCATCACCCCAAACTGGAGGCATCTGAAACAGAACTGGATGGGTGGAGGAAATCACCAGACGTGGTTTTTGGATGCTGGAAACATGAGATAGAGGAGCTGCAGCAGGAGGAGGTTTACAGGAAAGGGTAAACTGCAGGCACCGAAGTATTGATATGACTAAACTTGGAAGAGCTAAAAGAGAACATTTTGTAGGCTGGAAAGGAGCTGGAGCTGCAAGGAAGGAAATCATCTGCTGTTTGCATCTTCCTTCACTCAGTGTGCTCCTTCATGAATAACTAACACCACAGGAAAGAAATACCTGATCTGATTGCTGGGTCTAGTGGGAGCACATTGCAGGGCCTCACATTTTGAACTGTTCAGCTGAGAATCAGTTTTGTAGTAATTTTCCTGTGTAAAGTGCTTTAAGTGATATAAAGCAGGTGGCAGAGCAGCTCCAGGAGCAGGATTCAGAAGCAGCTATGAACTGAGCGATGCCCAAGGCCAGTGATCATCCTGCCTTATCCTTCCTAACAGCTCCGCAACTGCTTCAGGTTTTCATCTAGTCAAAATAAAACTAAAAAGTAAGACTTGTGCTTTTAGCTGCCTGGTGGCTGCCCAGTGGACCTTGAACGCAACCACCCTCAGAGCCAAATTTACATCTTGATTATTTCATTTTGAAATGTGTCCTTTGAACCATCCCCTGTGGTTTGCAGGCAGGACCAGTTCAGCCTGAGCAAGAGGGAGATGCGGGCACCATTGCTCAGCCACCACGTATGGTTTCCTCCAGAGCGGCTGCTTGAAGAGAGCTCTGCACAGCTGCTCTTCCTTCCCTGCCCTGTAGCTGCACCATGAGGGACAGGGGAGTAGATTTGGCTGCTCCGTTTTGGCAGGTCGCACAGGAGCCTCGCTGAGCACAGCAGATGCTCCACAGGCTTCTTGGAGCCCAGGGGAGCTGCTTGCAAAGGATGATTTGGTTTTGCTTCTTTGCACGCCTTTGCAAGGCAGCTCAGGAGAAGGGGGAAAAACCTGAAAGCCAGCTGCCGGTTACATTATTTTGAGCATCTATGCAGCTGGGAGGGTTTTTACTGCTGCGGTGCCTTGTGCATTTATCAGTGGTGCCCCAGCAACTAGCACCAGCACAAATCCATCGCTCCATGGGCTTCCATCATCCCTTCTTCCAACACCTAACACCCTGCCTCAGCTTCAGACTCAATGAAAATAATCCTTCACCCTCCTCAGATCTCCTCTTCCCTGGGGAGACCTCAAGCAGCAGCCTGTATTTTGTCTGAGCCTTATATAAAAAAAAACCCAAACAACAACACAAACAAAACCCCACCAAACTGAAACCCTGTACTATTGTGGTGGTGGTCCCTTGATCTTCTTATAGATGGCCCCCGGACCGAAAAGGTTAGATAGCTCTGCTTGCTAAGAGGATTTGGGGGCATCAAGGAGGATAATAAAATCGACAGCTGAGAACAAACCAGAGGGATAATAAAATAGACAGTTCTGAACAAACCGAAAGGCTGTGCCTAGCTCTTCATTTTTTACAGCAGTGATAGAAAAGTTGAAGGCTTATCTTTTAATTAGGTTAAATTAAGAAATCTATTTTTTTGTGTGTGTGTTTAGCATAACATTGTCTTGAAGGTAAATGCTTAGAAATTAAAGGTTTTCTAAATTAGGTTAAATTAAGACATCATTCTTCTTAAAGAAGACAAACCATTGTCTTCAAGGTAAATGTTTAATTACATTTCAAAAACAATTTAGTCTGTGTAATAATAAGGCAGAGAAGCCAGTCTCTGTGTATGACTGCAGCTCCAGACATAAGCCAAATAAATTGAGAAATGGGTGTTGAAAGAGTTAGGAGGCGGAGTGTAATTACTGGAAAGATGGGGGTCCTGCTGCATTATGATTCTTGTTTTTAGCGGGACTGGAAGAAATAATTTTGAGAAAATTACTTTTTTTTTTATGGCCACAAGAAAAATAGAATTTAATATGTACCTTTCTGTGAGGAAGAAAACTACAGAATGATAGATAATACTCAAAGCAAGAGAGTTTGGCAAGATAATTATGCTCAAGCCTCCAGCCTATCTGTTAAAGTAGGTTTGATATTTTTTTCCCCTCTCACTGTAGAAAATGCTCCCATTCTGGCTACAGGAGTGGTGGGATGTCTCTCTCGTGCTGGAATAGCACTCCAGTTCTTAGCCAGAAAGCCCTCTCTGACTCTCAGAACCACTCAAACCTGTGATTTTTAGGCATCACAGCAATGACAGTATAAAGCAGGCAGATGGAAGAAAGTCTCTGTATTACTGACAGTTTCAGAGTCAACATAGTTAGTTTTGCAAAAAAAAAAAAACAAAAAACCCAACCCAGCAACCCATCCTTGTTTCACTGAAGTGGAAGGGGATAGTACATTATGCATCCTTAAAGCAGGGCAGCCTCAGCATGTAAACCAGACACCTAAACTTTGTTGATAGCTACTACAAAGTATAGATAGTGACAACAAAACCTGGTGAAATTGCCAGCTTTAAAACAGAAAGAATCCTTTACCTCTAAAAGAACAAGCACGGCAGTTGACAGAACAAGGTGCCATCTTCTGCCACGTAGTTAAAAGATTTCTGACACTTCACCGTGGTGTGGAGCCTAATTTGTTGCTCAGCTTTCTGAAGCCTGATCTTATGATCTGCCGAGTGCCCCGCTGGGAACGGAGGGCTCACGCCGTGTGGGATGGCTGCTGGCTCTTCCCACCCTGGGCTCTTACTCACGCACGGCCCAGTGGGGAACGTTTCAGGGACATCTTCCTTCCCCGTGCAGCACCAAGGCTGCTTTTCCTCACCTGCAAGTAGCCAGGTCTAATGTCTGTTTAAAGGCTTAGATGTGTGTAGGCTGTCAAGCCCACTGCAGCTACCGTCATTTTATCAGGTTGTGATCAGATAAGGGGAAATCCATACATTTAAACTGGCTGATAACATTATGCAAGCAACAGCCCTAGACTTTCTTGAAGCAGGGCTCATCTACACATGGTGAGAATGAGTGAAACAATCCCTGATGGCCTGTAACGACTCAGGACAGAAGAAATCTGTCTGATATTGATTATTTGAAAGTTTTAGAAATACAAGCAGAGGACACAAGGCTCCTGAGAAGCCTAGATAATTAGGAACTTTGTTATCTGCTATGTGGAAGTGGATTGCAGTTTCACACTGTGTGTAGTAACTTGCTTTTAACCTAGGAGAGTGTGCTGTTGCCTTGTGTTACTTAAGGAACAAAGGGTGGAAAGCATGATTGCTTGTTAGATTAGACCATGTGCTGATGGATTACTGGGATTGTTTTGGTAGGAGGTAATTCTAATAAAACACCCGAAAGGCTAAATTGTAATAATAATGTAACCATGGCAATGTCACCTAGACAGAGTGGATATACAGCCCAGATGACTTCAGCCAACAAAGTCAGTTCCCTCCAGACACAGCCTGGAGTACCAACCTACATATGGTACAAGAAAATTAATGTATAAAGTAGATATTAAAGGTGCAGAAAGACATGTTTAAGGCATGGCTCTTTGGAGCAGCCTCCTTCCTCCTCCAAATGATCCCATCAGCATCTGTTGAGCACCTTGTGCTGCCAAGGAGATCTGCAGGCTGTAAATTATAAGAACAGATAAACTAATAGTGACGTTTGCCCTGATTTCACTTACTTTGTGCTGTGCAGGCGTACAGTTTCCATGTGATAATTTTCATGTGCTAAGCCTGTTAAAGCAAGAGGCTACCAAGCCCCCTCGTCTCTTTACTGGCCGAGAGTGAATGGCTAATGCAGTAAAAGCAGCTACCTCACCCTGGCTGTGAGGTTACTGAAATGCTTATAGCAGCTACAGTCAGATTCAATACACAGAAAATAGCTATCTAGCCCCCAAACCTCTGAATTGGGACGCATCATCATGCACTGATCTGCAGGTTCGACTGCTTTTCTTTTAACTCCACATTCTTACATACAATATATTAATTATCTGAGTTAAGACTCACATTCAGGGATACACGGAAGCCTGGCTAAGAATT